GAGTTGTATGAGCCCCCAATAAAATGATTTTTTTTCAAAGTTTGTGAGGGAGGGGGGAATGTAATGAAAAGAAAATAGAATGTTTCCACAAATGTCTTACAGCCCCCTCCCCCGTACCACGTAGGTGGCTGAGAGGCTGAGGGATGGAGAGCGTGGCTGCTGGCTGTGGACCCAGGACCACACAGAGCCCTGCTGTTTACCCATCTTGAATTGTGCAAACAGATTTCCTTCCTGAGTCAACCCCCCTAGTTGTGAGTATTGTGTGTGCGGCTCTTGCAGCATGCTGAGAGGAGCTGTGGGTGTCAGAATACGGCACAGAAAGATCGAGGGCAGGCGCAGTCTGACCTTTACGGTCATGGTTATAGGTCTTGCGGTCATGGTTATAGGTCTTGCGTCCGTGGGAGCGGGCCCTCCTCCCTCGTACATCAGAGGGGGGCGGATGTGGCCACTGTGGCCGTTGTCACCTGGAACCCCTAGAGCAGCGGTTCTCAACCTGTGGGTCAAGACCCCTTTGGGGGTCGAACAACTCTTTCACGACCCCCTTTGGGGGTCGCACGATTCATAACAGTAGTAGAATGACAGTGATGAAGTAGCAACCCCAAATAATTTATGGTTAGGGCGTCACCACCACATGAGGAACTGTATGAAAGGGTGGCGGCATTAGGAAGGTGGAGACCCACTGCCCTAGAGTCTTGTATGTTTCGTATTTCCCACATCAGCCTATTTCAAAACTAGTTCGTGGGATAACATTGTTTCCTTAAAAGAGCACTGTCCAATAGGGTTTCAGAAAGCATGAAAATGCACAAGGAAAATATAATCACCGTTTTGCTTTTTCATTCTTCTTCATTTAAAAATACTAAGAAAATGGCATGGGGCTGTGTCTGACCTGCCCTGGCTGCAATAGGGAGGAGAATTCAATGCCTTACCGGCCCAACCCCTGTGGCTAGGAGGTCTTTTTCGGACACAACTATTCCTCCCAGGACATGCTACTTTTCTGCTGGGTTTGCTAATAGTCACATAGACCATGCCCCCCAGGAAACAAAGGGCGATGGCTTGGTTCACCCTCTCGAGTAAGGTGGAGTCTTAGAATACATCCCCCCTTAATCCTGTCCATTATCAGAGCAGAGAAGTCGCTCCAAAAGAAGATGATAATGACAGACATAGAAGCTAGAATTTACAATACATCACACAAAAAACGATAGTAGTCAATACCCAAACAAACTCTGCCAGGGAGTTGATTCCTGTCCTTCCAGGGCAGGCTGGAGCTGCCCCCTGGGTGTCCAGGACTGTAAGGGGCTCTTTACGGGAGCAGAAAGTTCTATCTTGCTCCTGGGTAGCAGCAGCTGCTATTTTCAAACTGATGACCTTTCGGATCACAGCCCAGCTCAAAGCCACTGCTCCACCCGGGCTCCTCCTCGAACGACCTGCAGGGTCATGTTGATCGACGACCTCTCATTTACATTTTGGAACTATTTCAATAAAATGACGATCGTGTTGCTGTGCATGGATGAGTGCATGGTACCTCAAACTACTAGATCTTAATAGTTGAGCTCAGCGGGCTGTCAAATTCAAAGGGATGGTTTGGCCCATGTCAATGCTTAAGCAAAACTCAACCAAAGCAATGCCCCTGTTGCACATGGATACAAAGCGTTACCTCTCCAAGAATGCCTTATGGATTCTTGGAAGAATTTGGAGCTTATTTTATGGAATTAGATCATCTCCGTGATCTACAGATAACACGGACCCTCAAATGCAAAAATACTTGAGTAGATATAAACAGGCAAAAGACATCAGAGGTCACACGCTCCTGCTGTGACTGTCACAGAAGCCCCTCCCACTTTATAAGGTGACCAGATGTGAACATTGGTACAGCGGGACACCGTTGGTAAAACTCATATCCTGGCGAAATAGCCACATGGCAGCCGAAAACCGTATACCCTAGCTTGTCATGCATTCTTTCCAAAAATCGGGACTTTTTAAAAACGCCGCGGGACACGGGAAAAATTGTTAAAAATCGGGACGTCTGGTCACCTTACACTAACATGATGACCAACTTCCCTGCTCCGGAAACCGGGCAGTGGCAACATTGGGGGTGGGGGTGGGGGTGCGGGGAGGCACTGATACAGACCACAGGGCGTGATGTCATCAGAGGGGGTGACACCAGAATGAATCTATAAAATGTTTGTGCTGTGTTTCAGCAGAAACTTGTTAATTTTGAATAAAAAATATCCCTGTAGTTAGTTATGACAACAGCAGCATTTTTTTTCATACACTGAGCTTATGTGTATCAATATGCCTGCAAGCCTGCAACTCAAGGCTCATTCACCTTTGGAATCTTCTAATGGTCTCTGGAAGAGGCCCTGGCGGCTTCTAACCACAGGGTTCACAGTTCGAAATCGCCAGCTGCTCCACAGGAGACGGTTGAGGTTTTGTGTTCCCATCACGATTTACAGCCTTGGAAAACCCAAAGGCCTAATTCTCCTCTGTCTGACAAGGTCACTCTGAGTTCACGTGGACTCCATGGCAAGGAGTTTGGTTTGGTTTGGACGCTCTCTGGTCAAAGATGTCATTGGGCCACTATGATGACGCAGGACTCACATGGTTTTGTCTGCAGGCAGTGCAAGCATGCACTGCTGTTTCCATTGCTGGGGTGGTTTCATAGTAGCCAATGTTGTCCCATGTTCTATTCGTTTAGATATAATATCGAGGCAATTCATATTTGTGAACCTATATCAATAATGACTGAAAAGGAAGCAGTAATTAAAGGAAAAGGGGAACATTTTTAAAGGCTCCCTCAGTTACTAAGGTACAAACATTTTGTAAAATTTTGCTAGTATTCATATAACCTAAGAAATATTATATGCAAGCATTTTACAACCGTACATATTTGTCATATCGTATTCTATGATTAAAACTGATATTAAACATTACTGAGGATTCTGGATGTTCTGGGACTGGAGGAGGCCCATGGGGGTAGGGGTGGTGACACCCTGAGCTACAGCACTGGGTGGTCCCAACCCTAGTGATGCCACTGAGACCAGGAGAAAGTCTGGTCCTGGATTTGGGGACTGGAGAGACATCACAGTTTGTGTAGGAAGGGCTCAGTTCCCAGAGTGTGAAGTTTCAACTTAAACCTAAAACCAAATTCACTGCCATCAGGTCAATACCAACTCACAGTGACTCTGTAGGACAGAGTACAACCGCCTCTGTGGATTGCTGAGAGTGTAAATCTTCACAGCAGTAGAAACCTCATCGTTCTACCTGGGAGTAGCCGATGGTTTCAAACATCTAACCTTGCATTTAGCAACCCCAACATGTAACCCAGTAAGCCACCAGGTCCCCTTGAAATTTCAGCTAGCAACTCATTTTCCTATCGATTGGTGGGGAGGGTCTGTAGAAATCAAAATAGGGTGGGCTTTTGTTTGTTCTAACTGGTGTAGAAACCTCACCATTATTATGGCTTGTCTGTTCTCTGTAAGAGGAGCCCTGGTAATGTAATGGTTTCCCTTTGGGCTGCGAACCAAAAGGTCCACAGTTCAAAACCAACAGTTACTGTCTCAGAAACTCATAATACTGTAGCACTTCCACCCAGAGAAACAGCATTTCCATGAGTCAGCGCTGACTCAAGGTTGGGTTTGGACTGGGTTATCTGTAAGACAGATGAACACATCCAGCAGATTGAGAGGATGGGCGTGGTCAGAAATCTCCTGGGCTCACTGAGCATATAGGCAAAGCTAGTGGTTGACCCA